TATCTATCTATCTATCTATCTATCTATCTATCTATCTATCTATCTATCTATCTCATTCTGTCCACATATATCTCTGTTTCTATCTATCTATCTATCTATCTATCTATCTATCTATCTATCTATCTATCTATCTATCTCTGTTCAGATCTATCTATCTATCTATCTATCTATCTATCTATATCTATCTATCTCATCCTGTTAAAATCGATGTATCTATTTAATTCTGTTCAGATCTATCTATCTATCTATCTATCTATCTATCTATCTATCTCTCTCTCTCTCTCTCTATATATATATATATATATATATATATATATATATATATTCTGTTCAGATCTATATATCTATCTTCAGATTGTTGATATCTATCTATCTATCTATCTATCTCATTCTATTCAAATCTATCTATCTATCTATCTATTTCATTCTATCCAGATCTATCTATCTCGGTGTGTTCATATCTATCTATATGGGAAAGGCATGAATCCGGATCTTTTTCTCCCTACTATGAGTTTAATATTAATTACGAGAAGAACAGTTTCTTTATAAGGAAACATTCAGCATTTACCCGCCGAACATTTACCGTCAGTTGAAATGTGTATATATTTTTCTCTTCAAATAGTTTTTCATGAAAATAAGTTTCTCGCGTCCACTGTTATCGCTCTTTTAATAGTGATGGGAGTTTCCTTCCTAGCCTTTTGATTGGAGTCGTGTGGAAAGTCATTATCTTGATTGTGTAATTATTTTCTCTATATGTTATATTTCAGTTAATGTTGTTGTTTTTGAAAGCCTTCAATTGAATTATTTTTGTTACGTTTGATGTATTCCTTTACGATTATGTAGCGCCAATCTACGGGATCTTATGAAATATTGTATTCCTTATGACCTTTCTTTCGTTTCAAGCCGTTTTAATCATTGATCTGAGAATATGGTTGTATATAGCTTGGAATTTAGACATAGTTGGGTTCGATGCCATGCAAGGCTTTCATGATAAGGTCAAGTGTTGACTAGGCTATTTAAGAACATGATTCAAATTCGTAGGTTTATATCACTGACTTATTCGAGAGCCTAGGATAGCTACCTTTCTAGTTTAGCACAAATTCGAAACATTGGAGAAAGTAACGGAAAGTCTCTATACAATCTTTCCTCAGATGCCATGGCAATTCACAGATGACAAAGAGGCCCGAGGAGAGCCATGGCCGCCTATACCTGGAAGGGCTGAGTCATTAAAAACATTCTCGTATTTGCAACAAATCCTGTCCTGAATCTAGTGCTCCCTCTTTAAGAAGACCAACGCTTTTCTCAATGTCTACGGCCTTACCAACACCTTACTGATTACCGCCATAATCTTAGTCACGTGTCTGACCTTCGTTACCTCATTTCCTGAACGTCCCTGGACCTCTGTACTCACTAATACACGGCGTGTCATTCATTATCTGTCAGTCTCTGAAACCTTTCCTCCTTCATTTGATTATTTCTTATTTAGCATTTTGCCGCTTCGTTATTGCAATTCGTTTCGTTTCTTTGTTTTTTACAGTCTTTTTTTTTATTGAGCATTTTGCTTTTTTGCTTGAATTTTCGTTTATTTCGGTAATTCGATAAATCAGTTTTATACTTAGAGTATTTATATCTTGCGGAGATAGACAGTATTTAATGTTACGCGTTTTCAATCCTATTCCGTTAAATTCGAATATAATAAGCAGATTCTAGCGTTCTGGAATTTTTTTTATGTCGAATCAAGTGTTTAGTATGGAGTCAATTTTTAATTTAATCGCGTGTTTAGGATGGAATCAAATTTTATGCCTAAACAAGAGTTGAGTATAAAATCATTTCATGTTTAATCATTAGTATGGAATGATTTTTATGTCTAAGCAAGTGTTTAGGATATAATCAATTTTTATGTCTAATTAATTGTTTATTACAGTATTGCAGACCCGGCAGCGTGCAGTGCTGGTTTATTACAAAGTGGCCTTGAGCCAGACACCACACTAAACTACCGAGTCCACAAGCAATGTATAAAAAGAAAAATGTGCGTGAATGAACAGTGAGAGGAAAGGGGTTAATCAACGTGTGCATAAATTATAAACATCAAAGAGATAGCCGGAATAAAATGACAAAGGGGTCTGGATGCAAAACATGTGTAAATTTTTATTAAATGGAAAAACAAACAAGTAGGTATCTCGTGTTACGAGATCAGAGAACATGTTCCGCGCCAAAATAGGAAAACAAGATGAACAAGGCGGGAAAAGGGTTTTTATAAGGTTCTGGAAAAAGGAACTGGTCAAACACGAGGTGTATGTGCGCACAGATAGAAAGGAGTACTCACTGTGGATTTTTGGCGTTGAGAGTGTATGTGATTTTGTGTTTTTTTTGTTTTTTTTTATCTTTTTTTATGTTCAGGTTCAAGCTAGAGAGAAAGTTCAGTCGTCTCAGAGTTTGGTCAGGTCTTGAATTGACTGTTGAAAATTTTAACGGATTGCTGTGGACGTCTAGCCAAAAGGACGAAGAGTTATTTGCAGTTGGTTGCATCGTCTATGTGAAGTTACTTATGGCGAGTCCAGAAGGGACGAAGAATATCTGTTCGTGAGTAAGATATCCCTGTCTGTATTTAAGGTTGACTGACGAGGGATAAAATAAGTCACTTGTTGAATACGAAAATTTTCCCACGACTGTGTCGTGTGTCTCGCACATTTTCTATCAGAAAACGGAGAAGGTCTGAACTGCGGGTAGCAAGTTTGTTCGTCAGTAAGATATCCCTGTCTATATTTAAGGTTGACTGACGAGGGATAAAAATAAGCCACTTGTTGAATACGAAGTTTTGCTCACGACTGTGTCGTGTGTCTCGAACGTCTTCTGGTCGAAAACGGAGAAGGTCTGACCTGCGGGCAACTTCAAGACGAGAAGAAGTCTTGGTACAGTGTGAGGTTGACATTGTTAAAATAAGATACTCCGGCCCGCATATGGGTTAAGAGCACGGAATAAATGAGTTGCCCGTCTAGTTAGGTCGAAAGTCGGGAGGCAACTGGCTTGCAAACGCTGTTCGTTTGAGACGCCGAGAAACGCGCGGGAAAAAATTCAAAATCTGTTAGGCTGACTTCATCAGTAGGAGCCAGCGAGCTTCTCACTAGTTAAGGACGTTTACTGCTACGTCTAACTGTAAAAGAGAGGAAGGGAGGAAAACTCGCGCGCGCGTAAAATATAGATGGAATTAATGTGTTAATTCCATAACAGAATCAATTCATGTCTAATGAAGTGTTTAATGTGGAATTATTTTATGCCTATCAAGTGATTACGATGGAATCAATTTTTATATCTATTCAAATGTTTAGTATGGAATACATTTTATGTCTGATAAAGTGTTTAGTAGAGAAACAATGTAATTATTGTCATCAAGTGTTTAGTATGGAAAACATTTCTATGTCTAATCATGTGTTTAGTATAGAATCAATTTGTTATGTCTAATCAAGTGCTTAGTATAGAATCAATTTGATATGTCTAATCATGTGTGTAGTATAAAATCAATTTTTTCTGTCTAATCAAGTGTTTAGTATAGAACTAATTTTTATGCTTAATCAAGTGTTTAGTACAGAATCAATTTTTGTTTAATCAAGTGTTTAGTTTAGAATCAATTTTTGTTTAATCAAGTGTTATCATAGAATCAATTTTTATGTGTAATCAAGTGTTTAGTATAGAATTAATTTATTATGTGTAATCAACTGTTTAGCATGTAATCAATTTTTGTGCCTAATAAAGTGTATAAAATCAACTTTTTTAATATCTAATCAAGTGCTTAGTATAGAATATATATATATATATATATATATGTATGTATGTATGTATATGTATATATATACATATATATATATATACATACATATATATCTATATATATACATTTATATTATAATTAATTTTAAAAAATATGATTCCTTTGCTACATAAGAGTTCTCATGTTTCAAAAACGAGAGCCGAAAATCTCAATTAATTTTGCGAATGGACATGCCTATAAAGATGCGTAAATTTCAAGATTGGTTATTCCTAAATTTTCGCTTGAGGATGAAACAGGGCTTGATACTTTAATTCAATTTAATTTTAATAATTATATTGAGGTTTTCGGCTCTCGTTTTTGAAACATGAGAACTCTTATGTAGCGAAGGAATCATATTTTTTATGCTCTACTTCTGTATGGGGCACTGATTTTTAAAAATAAAAACAAAAATACTAAAGAACCCCGGATTATTTACCTAACGTGTTCTTTCCTATTTTTCTACATATCTGCACACACACACACACACACACATACGTGTGTGTGTGCGTGTGTGTGTGTGTGTGTGTGAAAATATAAATAATATAATAATTGCTCCAGTCATTACCATAGTAATTTTAATTTTAATAATGAATATGCTTATAAAAACGCGTAAATTTCAAGAATTAGTTCTTCCAAAGACAAATTTTGCTTGAAGATGGAACATAGCTTGGTACTTTAATTCAATTTAATTCAAATAATTATATTTTATATTGATGATTTCGGCTCTTGTTTTGAAACATGAGAACTCTTATGTAGCGAAGGAATCATATTTTTAAATAAATAATTATGTATATAATATAATAATTGCGCCAGTCGTTACCATACTAATTTTAATTTTAATAATGAATATGCTTATAAAAACGCGAAAATTATTGCTTATGCTTAGTGTTATGGTCCGGTTCCTTGTAATCCAAGGTAGAACCAATAAAGAAGAACTCGAACACAGGTATGGAATAACACAGATATATTACAAACAGGAATATATACAGAGAAGTAGATGTGTTAGTATGAACAATCAGGTTTAGTAGAGAGAACAATATAGTCTCGACCAGTATCACTATTCCAATGTCTTGCAGTAATTGTATGAACGCGACTCTGTTTCGGACTGCCTCTGACTCGACTTGAACTACTGACTCCTAGCCTACTCCTGAGGCGCAGTATTTATTAAGTATGGAATAGTCCATTATTATTATTATGGGTATCCCATAACACTTAGATAGATAGATAGATAGATAGATAGATAGATAGATAGATAGATAGATAGATAGACATGGAATGATATGAATAGAATGTGATAGCTATACGTATACTGAGATAGATAGATAGATAGATAGATAGATAGATAGATAGATAGATAGATAGATAGATAGATAGATCGACCTGCCGAAGTATGATTATTGCTTATGCAGATAGATAGATAGATAGATAGATAGATACGAACAGACTGAGATAGATAGATAGATAGATAGATAGATAGATAGATAGATAGATATGGAATGATATGAACAGAATGTGATAGATATACGTATACTGATATAGATAGATAGATAGATAGATAGATAGATAGATAGACCGACCTGCCGAAGTACGATTATTACTTATGCTTAGATAGATAGATCGATAGATAGATAGATACGAACAGACTGAGATAGATAGATAGATAGATAGATAGATAGATACGAACAGACTGAGATAGATAGATAGATAGATAGATAGATAGATAGATAGATAGATAGATACGAACAGACTGAGATAGATAGATAGATAGATAGATAGATAGATAGATAGATAGATAGATAGAAAATGAACAATTTGGGAAGGGCTGATGAGTGAGAAGAAGGCTAAATTCAATGAGAGAACAGAATGGAATCAACCGTATTTTTGTAAAAACCAAAAGAAAAACCAAACTACAGTCAAGTCTCTTCTCATTATTGATGATGAGAATACATTTGAAGCGTCCAGGGTATTAAGTAAATATGGACAGGAACATTTGATGGTGCAAGGTGTTGGTTGAGCGTCAGTTGGAGCGGAAGGGGAAACGTTAAGGTCGAGGCTGGGGCTGGAGTGGAGCATGGACACCGTTTGTGTTCAATTAAGCTCTTCGCAATAATAGCAATTAGAGCAATTAATTAACACCAACTCTTTAGCTGCCGCCATTTTTTTTCCGTATGGATTTTCTTTCGTTTATTTCCTCCCTAGTTTTGTTCTTCAACTCGTTTCCTCTTTCATTTACCACTCTCTTTTCTTCATTTCCTTTCATTTCTCTCTCCCTCTCTCTCTATCTCTCTCTCTCTCTCTCTCTCTCTCACACGCTATTTTTCTTTCTTTCTTCAAATGTTTTACTTCACTTGTTACTGTTTGTCTCTTTCTTTTTTCTTTCTTTCAAACTGAATTATTTACTTTATTCATCCTTCTTTTATTCGTTCCGTTTTTCTTTCGTTCCTTTTTGCTTTTCTTTCTATCACTATCTTTCTCTTTTCAAATGTCTTTCCTTGCTTTGTTTTTCTTCTTTTTCACTCTCTCTTTCTTTCTTTCTTTAATGTCTAATTCTTTCCTTAATTTAACCTTGCTTTCTTTGATTCTTTTTCTATCATTTTTGCTTTCCTTTCAAGGAAAACGTTTGAAGAAAGCAGTAGTGCTTTCTTCAAACGTTTTCCTTGATTTGTTTATATTCTTTCTCTCTTTCTCCTTTCTTTCTTTGTTTGTTTCTTTCTTTTTTCTTTCTCTCTTTCTCCTTTCTTTCTTTCTTTCTTTTTTCTTTCTCTCTTTCTTTCTTTCTTTCTTTCAAGTATAATTTTTTCCTGTCTTTATTCTTCTTTTCTTCCTATCTATTTTGCTTTCATTTCTCACTCTATCTATCTATCTATCTATCTATCTATCTATCTATCTATCTATCTATCACGTATAATTCTTTCTTTTCTTTATTCTTCTTTTCTTCCTGTCTATTTTGCTTTCATTTCTCACTCTATCTATCTATCTATCTATCTATCTATCTATCTATCTATCTATCTATCTATCTATCTATCTATCTATCACGTATAATTCTTTCTTTTCTTTATTCTTCTTTTCTTCCTGTCTATTTTGCTTTCATTTCTCACTCTATCTATCTATCTATCTATCTATCTATCTATCTATCTATCTATCTATCTATCTATCTATCACGTATAATTCTTTCTTTTCTTTATTCTTCTTTTCTTCCTGTCTATTTTGCTTTCATTTCTCACTCTATCTATCTATCTATCTATCTATCTATCTATCTATCTATCTATCTATCTATCACGTATAATTCTTTCTTTTCTTTATTCTTCTTTTCTTCCTGTCTATTTTGCTTTCATTTCTCACTCTATCTATCTATCTATCTATCTATCTATCTATCTATCTATCTATCTATCTATCTATCTATCTATCTATCACGTATAATTCTTTCTTTTCTTTATTCTTCTTTCTTCCTGTCTATTTTGCTTTCATTTCTCACTCCATTCATCTATCTATCTATCTATCTATCTATCTATCTATCTATCTATCTATCTATCTATCACGTATAATTCTTTTTCTTTTCTTTATTCTTCTTTTCTTCCTGTCTATTTTGCTTTCATTTCTCACTCTATCTATCTATTCATCTATCTATCTATCTATTCATATCTATCTATCTATCTATCTATCTATCTATCTATCACGTATAATTCTTTTTCTTTTCTTTATTCTTCTTTTCTTCCTGTCTATTTTGCTTTCATTTCTCACTCTATCTATCTTTCTTTATTCTTTCTTTCTTTCTTTCTTCAAATGTTTTCTTGGTTGATTTTCCTTCTTTCGCTCTGTTTTTATTTTTTCTGCTTTTCTTGAGTAGTTTTTATTTTTCATTTCTTGCTTTATTTTCGTTCTGTTTTTTTTTCTTTTTGTCTTCTTCATTTCTTTTCTTTAATTGCTAATCTCTTCCTCTTTTTTCTTTATTTCTCGTTTTTTTTGTTTATTCTTCTTTTCTTTCCATCTTTCTTTTCTTTCAGCTTAATTTTATTTTTTTCTTTCTGGTTTTCTTTTCATTCTGTTTTTCTCTCTTTCTTTTTTATTTATATTCATTCATTGTTGTTGCTTTCTACAAATGAATTTTTCTTATTTACATTTTTTATTTATGTACATTTTTCTACATTTACCTTTTTATTTAGTACCTTTTTCTTAATGTACATTTTGTTTAGGTACTTTTTTCTTTAGTACTTTTTCTTTATGTACCTTCTTCTTTGCGTATCTTTTTCTTTTTGTACATTTTTCTTTAGAACCTGTGTCTTTAGTACTTTTTTTCTTTATGTGCCATTTTCTTTTGTACCTTTTTCTTTATGTACATTTTTCTTCATGTGCCTTTGTTTTTAGTACCTTTTTTCTTTATGTATTTTTTCTTTATGTACCTTTTTCTTTATGTACCGTTTTCTTTATATACATTTTTCATTGTGTGCCTTTTACTTTAGTACCTTTTTCTTAGTACACATTTATTTATGTACCTTTTTCTTTAGTACCTATTTATTTTTGTACATTTACTCTATGTACCATTTCCTTTAGTAACTATTTCTTCATGTACCTTTTTATGTACCTTTTTTACTACCTTTTCCTTTAGTACTTTTTTCTTTATGCACATTTTTCTTTACGTACCTCTATCTTTATATACATTTTCCTTAATGCACATTTTTCCTTAGTACCTTTTTCTTTATGTACCTATTTCACTAGAACCTTTTCTTTATGTACATTTCCCCTTATGTACATTGTATGTGCCTTTTTCTTTAGTACCTTTTTTGTTTATCTACAATTTTCCTTATGTACCTTTACTTTCTCTTTATGTGCATTTTACTTCATGTACCTTTCTGTTTAGTACCTTTTTCGTTATAGAGATTTTTATGTACCTTTTTTATGTACTTTTTTGTTTCGCACCCTTTCTTTATAAACATTTTTAGTACCTGTTCTCTATGTACCTTTCTCTATAGTACCAATTCCTTTATGCACCTTTTACTTTACTACCTTTGTCTTTATGTGCCTTTTTCTTTAATATATTTTCCTTTAGTACTTTTTCATTATGCCCATTTGTCTCTACGTACTTTTTTATTTATGTACCTTTTTTTAGTACCTTTTTCTTTATGCACATTTTTCTTTATGTACCTTTATCTGTAGTAACTTTTTATGTACCTTTTATTTTATATACATATTACTTTATAAACATCTTTAGTAGCTGTTCACCATGTACCTTTTTAGTACATTTTTCTTTATGCACATTTTACGTACCTTTTTCTTTAGTACCTTTTTCGTGACGTACATTTTTCTTTATGGACCTTTTTCTTTAGTACCTTTTTCGTGACGTACATTTTTCTTTTGTACCTTTTTCTTTATGCACATTTGTTTTTGCGTACATTTTTCTTTAGTACCTTTTTCTTTATGTACATTTTTCTTTATGTACTTTTTGCTTAGTACCTTTTTTATGAACCTTTTTACATACTTTTTCTCTTCATGTAAATTTTTCTTCATGTTCTTTTCTATCTCCGTTTTTTCATTCTTTCTGCTACAATTCTTTGATCAGAAAATCTTTTTTTCTAAATTTCTTTCGTTCGTCCCTCCTTTTTCTACAATATTTCTTCAGCATCATTCAGTATCATAAAAATAATACCATTTTTACTTAATTCCTTCTTTTTTTTAATGTCGCTTCTATTTTCTCATCACAATTTATTCTATCCTCTCCCATCGTTAATAATTCAATAGGAAATTCATTTTGTTTTGTTATTGACAGACGTTTTTCATTTAAGATATGAATGACAATTGCCATAAAATATTAAGAAACGGGTAAATTTCGTCAGAAACAAAGAAAAGATTACTGAACTGTTATGTAATATCAGTCCTCCTATATGGCAGTGAATACTGGGCAATCTCCTCGCAGATGAAGAAGAGACTTGAGCAACAGAAAGAAAGAAAAGAGTACTGAACTCTCTTGTAATATCAGTCCTCCTATATGGCAGTGAATGCTGGACAATCTCCTCACAGATGAAGAAGAGACTTGAAGCAACAGAAACAAAGAAAAGAGAGCTGAACTGTTATTTAATATCAGTCATCCTATATGGCAGTGAATCCTGGACAATCTCCTCACAGATGAAGAAGAGACTTGAAGCAACAGAAACAAAGAAAAGTGTACTGAACTGTTATGTAATATCAGTCCTCCTATATGACAGTGAATACTGGATAATCTCTCAGATGAAGAAGAGACTTAATGCAACACAAAGAAAAGAGAGCCGAACTGTTACGTAATATCTGTCCTCCTATATGGCAGTGTACGCTGGCCAGTCACCTCACATATGAAGAAGAGACGTGAAACAAATCAAAGAAAAAATACTGAACTGTTATGTAATATCAGTCCTCCTATATGGCAGTGAATGCTGGACAATCTCCTCACAGATGAAGAAGAGACTTGAAGCAACAGAAACAAAGAAAAGAGAGCTGAAATGTTATGTAATATCAGTCCTTCTATATGGCAGTGAATGCTGGACAATCTCCTCACAGTTGAAGAAGAGACTTGAAGCAACTGAAACAAAGAAAAGAGAGCTGAACTGTAATGTAATATCAGTCCTCCTATATGGCAGTGAATGCTGGACAATCTCCTCACAGATGAAGAAGAGACTTGAAGCAACAGAAACAAAGAAAAGGGAGCTGAACTGTTAGGTAATATCAGTCCTCCTATATGACAGTGAATGCTGGACAATCTCCTCACAGTTGAAGAAGAGACTTGAAGCAACTGAAACAAAGAAAAGAGAGCTGAACTGTAATGAAATATCAGTCCTCCTATATGGCAGTGAATGCTGGACAATCTCCTCACAGATGAAGAAGAGACTTGAAGCAACAGAAACAAAGAAAAGAGAGCTGAACTGTTATGTAATATCACACCTCCTATATGGGAGTGAATGCTGGACAATCTTCTCACCGATTAAGAAGAGACTTGAAGTAACAGAAAGAAAGAAAATAGAGCTGAACTGTTATATGGCAGTAAATGCTAGACATTTTTTGTCCAAATGAAGAAGATTTGAAGCAACAGAAATCTGGTTTTACAG